ACTCCACAGATCAGTAGAGTGTGATGGGCCCTTTCCATTGAGCCCTGGATCATATTGCTAGCCTTCGGAGAACTGAAGATACAGACCCCAGAATCTCACAACTTTGTATCTGACTTAGGCGCACCTTAGGCGGCCTTGCCGAGACACTAGCCCATTTAGATCACCGTTAACTCTGCGAAAAATAAGAGTAACTTCACAAGATTATAGGCCATTATATCTCCTCTCCAACGACACAACTTTTTATTGTAGTTTTCTGGAAACCAGAGATAATGACGTTCAGTATCTGATCTTTAAAGCACTGTAGATCGGCGGAGAAAGCTTAGAACGAAACCAAACTCTGCAGGTCCATGTTGTTAGAATCATAATCATGTGATCAGCAACTAGTTTGTGCAGCTACAACTAAAGAATGATTATTTTATGCAGTTTTTCTATTTCAAAACTCTTCATGTCAAAACCATGAACAGGTTTTTCTTGTTTGAGGTTCTAGAAACAAACTGCTTATTGAATGGGCCGATCACAACTAATTTTCTCTCATCTAGTCCTACCCAGGTGTTGACCACCTATAAAAAGGGGTCACATCTGAAGTTTCACTTGTTCACAACAGGCCCAGCACTGTGCTAGAGAGGACATTAGGTGTGATGTAGATGAGAACATGTGGCTAAATGATGCAGACCAGATAGATCAAGCATTTACTGCACTTTTTTGTATTGCTTTGCTAGATTTTGTAAAGTATTCTTTTACAGTCTGTTTTGTGAAGCTTTTCTGAGCTTTTGGGGAGAAATTTTACATGGTCCACCAAAGAATAGTAAACAATTTACACTATGAAACAAACTATAGAGCAAATAATTCTTTGGTACTTAGTAGATTTACATAAAATAGTAGATTTACCTTAGTGCCAACAGTCTTAGGTGATCGTGTTCTGGTATTGTGTTCAGAGGGTTCTTGTTGTTAGAATGTTGATGTTTTGATGTAGTGAGTTTACTTTGAGATGTTTTACGTTAGTTTGGTAAATGTAGAGCATTTGAGCCTAAAATGAACTGTTGTGTCGAGCTGCATGTTTCTGCTGAGAGGAGTATGAAGAGTTTTGAAAAAGTGATCTTGAAATTGAAAAATGCTTGATAGTGATTGTAAAAATAGAAAGTAAAGCAAACTGTTTTGGCCAGACACTTTGGGTGCTCACTTTTCTCTGTAAAATGAATGAACTGTAGATGGACATTGTGCTGGCTAGTTGACTTTGGAGCTAACATTCACTGTGCCACTTAACCAGCATGCTAAATTTGCCCAAAATAAGGCCTGAACGCATGTTTATAATAGGGTTCAAAGAGAACTGCAGAAAACTGTTTTTTAGGCTTGCATGTCTGGCTATACCAGGGGTCAGCAACATGCAGCTCTTTTACTTTTTAGGTAAGAATAAAATGATCCTCCTTTGCAGTAAAATAAAGCTCTGCTGATCGTTTCAACACAGTTTTAACAATGGATGGTCTTAAACTCTGGAGTTAATGTAGAACTGCTAATTCATCCTTTAACCCTGAAGGTTGGTGCGTAGACTGCTGGTCTCCATAGCAACGCAGACAAGAATCTGGCCTAGGTAGCAGCTAATGAAAAGACGAACATGGATAATTTGGAGACGAATGGACTTATTTGTATTTATAAGCACTCCAGCTGGTTTTCTTGATATGTTTAATCTGCAACGATAAACTGTTTAAAAAACCTAAAAAAAAAAAACAGCTAAAAAGTCGTGAAGCTTCTCGTTCGCCAGCTTCTTGTTCGAATTTTCCCGCTCCACCTTAAATGGTGCAGCAGTTACATTCTTTCGCCTCAGGCATCATTTAAGGTGGAACGGGAAGATTAGAACAAGAAGCTGGCGAGCGAGAAGCAACTTCAGCCTCATAAAAAGTCAAATGTTGAGAGAACTTCTATATTTGGGAAGATTTCCTGCTGGAGATGCGAGAAAGTTTAAAGCAGAGCAAAGTAAGCATTTTCGTATACATTACATTTGTTAGCCTATACTAACACATTGGCATATACGGAGACATATTTACAGCCAAAATGGTAAAATGGACATAAAATGTGTTTCATTTTTGCTGAAAGGACAAAATGGATCTTCTTAAGACCCCCCTGGGTTATACATTTATCGGATTTTTCTAATTGGCTTTGTGAAGATGTCCTTATACGGACGTCGTTGTTTTAAGTTCTTATACTACGAATCGAGGGACGTAGTGGAACACAGTAGTGGAACAACTTTTTTCTCCAGCCTTCTTGTCACAATGACTTTTTCACTGATTGTTATGAGTAGATCTCAAAGTGCTTTATGGCCTGTCTGACTGATTCCATGCAGCATATAACTAGTTTGAGCGTAGACCTGCTTTGAAAGGGCAACATGCCCCGCATTCCTACCACAGCAGATGTCAGAGCAGATTTAGACTTTTCTAATGCTTTTTACAAAGCTCCTGTATGCTTAGCCTTAAAAAAAGTTAGCGTCAAGCTATCAATTCACCCATATAAAATCCACTCAGATAAATCCAGGATTGTCTCGCAACCACAAGTTGCCCCCTAAAATAAAAAAAAAGAGAATTATTACCTGGAGACTCATGCTCAGAGGGAGGCTATCGGCCTGCACAAATAAAATTCATTTTTTGGGAACTGGTTTAATTATTTTCCTGTCAGGCCCTCCTAACGTCTGATTTATTTACACAGAAGCAGTCTGGCCTTGAGGCTGGTTATTACTCTCCTTGTGACAGAAATATCTGGAAAAGTTTAAGAGATTTGGTCAGATTCATATCAGTGTGGCCAATCAGACATGTATTTGTACTGGGGCTACTACAGCAAACGGCAGCTGCGAGAGTATGAGACACGCTCGACGTGTGTTTTCATCAGCGTTATGTTCAGGCCAGAATTCAGTGTTCCAAAAGCTGATATTTAGTAATAGCTTTGTGCTCTCTGTGAAGCATTTATGATTGTTAGTATAACCACGTAACTGCACATTTATTGCACAATGTATGCATGCTGCAGTGAGCATTTAATATTTATGCTCCTGGTGGGAAGTGTACTATAAGTCATGTCAATTATTTTTGAGACCACGGTTAAAAAAAAATAAGTATATAGCCTGATTCATTATCCTCTCCACAAAAAAACCACCCGTCAAACAGAAGACGCTGTTAGGAATGCAATACGCTCCTTGGTTCATATGTTGGTTTTAGAGCGTCTGATGTCTATATGTTCTGTTTATACCGCTGAGCTGGACATTTGCATCAACTTTATGAGTTTGGAGCGATCAGAAAGTCTCAGATGCAGCGCTTTAGCCCGCCTTAAGCAGCGCGCTTGTGGTTTTGTTATGTTGTGGAAAGTATTGGAACGATGTGACTTCTTTTTCCATTCCAAAACTCTTGACTCCTTTGAGCATACACAAGCATTTTGTACTCATTAATCATGGTGTGAAAAGCCAGAAGCAACATATCAAGTGTCCTTGCATGCGTCTGGTGGTTAAGAACTAGGATCTGTCACCATTAAACGGCAATCACTGTCTATACGTTAGATGTTTTATGGGTTGGTAGCTTCCTTATTCGGCTTCTGTGCGGTGCAGAGCCGTGAAATTTCTGCTAGGAACAAGATAAATATAGCTTGTGCCAGTCGATTTTGGCCTGACATCTTTAGTACACGACACAAGCGCACTGTCATCATATTAAAACCTCGTAACTCCATTTTTCCACCAAGGGGCCTTTATACTGCGTGAGGGTCGCTCTATAGAAACGTCCACTTTTCTGTCTCTCCATAGGTGTCACTGGTGTTACCGATCCTCATTGGCGTTACACATAAGGAAGGTAACACCAGAGACAGTAACACCAGTGACAAAATGGCTGCTACAGAGCATCAAACCACGTCGTCAATCATGGAATATCCACTAAAATATGTAATTTAATCCATTTATATTCTATTTTTTCACAATAACCTAAGAATAAAGTCGGTCACACCAGTGACTTCAGCTAAAAGCTTCATATGAAATCATGAGCTAAATGAGAAAATCTCTGATAACTGAAAGACACAGTGGAGTTACCATGTGCTTTTCTTCAAAGATCCTCAGAAAATAGGTAACAGGAAGTCAAGTGATGTCATCAGTGTGATTAGTATGTCATTTAATTCATATATTCCATAGTCATGTATAGATTATTGTAGTTAAAATTGCAGAAAAACGTGTTTTTTTCTTCAAAATATGGCCTCACCCTTTACACATGACTGTGGGGACAAGCACTTCTGTGGTGCCTGGAATTCTAGATAATTGATTTAAAAACCAATATAGCTAAATGAATGGCTTAAGAAGGTGTAACTGTTAAAATAACTTATTGTTTTATTTTGAAATATAAATAAATTGTAACCCTCACATGTTTTCCAAGTGTAATACATCTGTAATCGCTAGGGACACAAAAATGGACGTTTCTGTAGAATGACACGTTAACATTTCACCATGTTATAGTGGACCAATAGATATGGTCCAAAATTAGGAATAAAATTTCATTAGATTAACGTAATCATTACTTAAAGTTAAGAACATTGGGCCTCATTCACCAACCGTTCCTAAGAAGAAATTTCTTCTTAAAACACACAGTTTTCACGAAGATTCTGACGTTCAGCAGTGTTTTCTTATTTGGGATTTGATCTTAGGTAAGAACAGAACCTACACACACTCAAGAGCATAAAGGTGAGAACAAGAACACGTCATGAATCTGACGTAAACTTTCTCTTAGGACCTTTCTCGAGAGAAAACATTGCTGAATGAGGCCCATTTTTTCAATTTCAGTTTCTTTTAGTGTATCAATGTCCATAAATGTTCTACATCTCTGTGAAACTCATTCTTTATTCTCATAACTTTTATTTTCTATTTTATTTTTAGGACTTTTTTTGCATTTTTTTTAAAGCTGCTTCCTTGTGCCAACACCAGTTGCAAAAGTGCTATAAAAATACACTTGAATTGGATTGAATACAAATTCTACTCTTTCTTCCAGCTGGCTTGAGGAGAAGTTTTCGGCTAAGCCGGAAGGACCACAAGATCCATGATTCCCAAGCAAGATGGAGAAAGAGTGAGGTTCTAAGGGCCAGGAACATCCCCAGCTATCAGGAAGTGGTTCCTTACAACAGAAAGCCAGGAGAACCATACCGTCTAGTGCTTCTGGTTGGTGAGTTCACTACAGGCCAAGGGTTTAGGGGCATTTTGCTTTCTTTATTAGAAATTTTTCTTGTTGTTACTTTTCAGTTATTTTTTTCTTAATGCAAACATATACTAATCATTTGGTTATATTTGTCTTTAGCACTTAGCTTCATCCTTATCAGAGTGTCTTCCATGGTATGAAGAGCAGTAGGGCTGTAACAATTAATCGATACTATCGATTAATTCGTTACGATTATAATCGTAACACTGATTATAAAAAAATGTTGCCAATGAATCTTGTCATCACTAAGTTTGTCTTGATGATGTTTGTTCTCCCTGTTTACAAACCTTGAATGAAAGAGGCCAAACACAGATAGTGGAGACGGCAGTACACGGTCCTGCATGGTTAAATATGTAAAAAAATATGGGAACACTTCAGTATCATCTAACGACTCGCATGTGTGAAGATCTAGAGAAGCACACTGTTAGAAATAAAGGTTCTGTGCTGGTACATTTTTTGTTCATCAAGGTACAAACAGTGTAAATGTTCCCTCAAAGGTACAACAGTGGATTTAAGGTCCAGTTGTGAACCTTAAATAAGTTTTTTCCAGGTAAAAAGTACATATTTGTACCTTTTCATAACCGAATGTTTTAAAACAGAACAATAAAATAAAAGCCTGGAGACGAGACGGGGTGTGTGGAGTCAGTACGACTTAGAAAATATCATTTGAATGGATTATGGTACAGTTATGTTCCCTGACTAAAGATACTGAGATGTACCCTTGAGGGTCCCACCCAGGTGACAAGAGGGGTCCTGCCCCAGTGACAGTTTTTGAGTGCATGGTGAGCTATTGCTAAAACTATGGAAAAACTGTAGTCGAGTTCTCAGCTGTTTAGTGAGCTCTGTTTTAGTTTAGCAGATTAACCACTGTTGGCTGATAGGATATTTAGTTATTAACAGACTGCTGGCTTCAATTAAGCTATAATGAACTGATCAAGTCATAATGGAAATCATCGTTAGATGCAGTTCTAAAGAGCATGTATATGATATAATGATTTGACAGGTTTCTTTTGGTCCCAGAGGTGTTTTAAACACCTGAAAGTTTGCGTGCTGATGAGTGCTGACATCACAACGAGGGGATAAAATGTGGCCTTTGCCATTTTTCCCAAGGGAGCACTGTCTCTAATGCTGTCACAAATATTTGTGTGATATTGATTTCCTCTAAACCTGCTTTGGCTTTAACATGTTAAGTTACTGCAAATCAACAAAGAACACCTGCTCATTAAAATGCATTTCAAACATTTTGAAAAGTTAGTCCCCATATTTTTGACGGACGCCGTATGTGAATTTGACTGGAAATGCCTGTATACGTCTATGAATGTGTACCATAGAGATTCCGCCAACAAAGTTAGCTGAGAAGTTCTGAACGGTTAATGTCACGTTAGGGCTGGATTGGTTTTCAAACACTCTCCTTAATGCCACTTATATGAGTTTTGCGATTTTTACGACTTTGTAATTTTACAGCTTTAACTTTGTTGAGTTTATATGAGTTCTCCATGAGACCAGGTTGACCAGATTTGATGCCTTTCGGTGCCTTTAGTGTTTTGTGGTTTTAATAACAGTGCGTTCTACCCTCAGGGTCCATTGTGCTCATTTGTGTTTTATTTAACCTCGCTCTCCTCTGTGGTCTCTGCGCAGTAAAACCTAACGGCTCCTGAGCATCGTAGCAAAGCCTGGCTGTCCTCCATGGAATCTCGAACAAACATTTTTCAATTAAACCTCTCCTTCTTATCTGGCCTCTTATGATATTCTTTCCTTCGAGCTGACTACACTTTAGAGAGCAGCTTATGGATACTTTTACAGTCTAGAAAGTTGCAGTGAGACATGGCTCTGCAGTATGGATCTGTTTTCATTGCTCTGCCTGGACTGCACCTCGGGCCTGCAGAATGTTCTTCCTAATGGCATTTCAAATGGCAGGCTCCGAATGAACGGACAGGGAAGGCATGCTTGTCCTCTAAACATGAAGGCACCAGTCATTTCCCCTCAGTCAGCTCCCCTCACTGTTTTCCTTTGATATCATTTAAGTCTCCCATTGCCACAGTTTATCAGGTACAAGGACTTAGAAAATGGCCATAATGAAAAGTCCACCTCCCCTTGGGCAAACAGCACGAAAATGTGTCTTTGCAGACTTGATGTAATGAGAGCCCTGCTTTGCGCGTCGGTTTTGAATGTTCTAGCCTGAATGCCGTTTTGGAGAGGGAAGAACATTAATTAAGAAACAGTAATCATATCCCTCCACACTTTATTCAAGTGAGTGAAATAATTTTCGCATGAAATAAATTATGTTACATCAACACAATAATGGCCAAAAGCACAGTACTGTGCAAAAGACCACACTTTATTTATTTAATATCCAATCAGAAGCAGCACTTAAATACAAGCATTCATTTTTTAGCATCAGGGAAAAAGCAGGAAAAATATATTTAATGAAAAATTACACAGAAGCATTGACTTTTTTTAAAACACCTCCATTCTTTTCCGAAAACCTACTTTCAGTGTTTTTAAAGAAATCTGCAGGGATATTTTTCCACACCTCCAAAGTTCAGTCGTAGAAGTTGGTTGCATTTTCTGCTTTTCATGATCCAAGTAATCCCAAACGGAGGTCTGGACTCTGGGGTGGTCAGTCCATTGTCCAGCTTCTTTGTTTGATGTGTCTGTCTCCTTTTTTCAGTGAGGCTTCTTGAACAGCTACACATCCTTTCAGACCCATAGCACTGAGTTGTCTTCTCACAGTGGAAGGATGGACAGAAACACCTGTGGATGTTTTCAGATCTGAAGCAGCTTGATTTTCTCCTCTCTCCCAAAGACGAAAGCTTTAAGTGCTGTTTATCTGATGGGGGGAGTTTTGGTGGTCTACCAGGTCTTGCATGGTCCCATTTTCTCTGTAGCTTTTAATATTTTTTTGAACTCCACTCTCCAGTTCAAAAGCTTCCTTATGCGGGTGGATTATCTTATATCTGATATACTCAAAAATGTCTCCTGAAAATGAATAACTTGTACTTAAAGGTCTTTTTGACTGGTAACGAAATACAATGAGGTGGTCTCTGACTTTTGCACAGCACTGTGTGTTTTATATATGGCAGTAATGTTCATATTTATATCAAGTGCATTCAAACCATGTTTTTTCAGTGTAACTTCACTTTTGTAATAGAGTTATCATAGCTGTAAGTGCACAAAGTTATATTTAAAAAATGTGAATTAGTGCGTCCAAGCCCTTTCAATTCTCTCGGCTTGTTGAAATAAAAATGTGTCTCCGTGGCAAATTTAGGGAATTCATTCTTAGATTTATCAGAGGTGAGAACAGCAGCTGGCGAGGGGATGAGAGCAGATGTAAGCTTTATTTTGAGAAAAAAAAACAACAGAAAATGTACAGGAGCATACTAATCTCTCTTCCAGTGCTTGAAGGCCTTCAAGTGAGGCTTGACTTGGGCCGACCTGAGAGCCAAACTATTCAAGGACTGCATGGATTTATTTCAAAAAAGCTTCATCATCTCAGCAAGGTCAGACCCTGGAGTGTCTGCCATTGATATTTAGAGGAAACTGACCAAAAATGTTGCACATCTAAGGAACAAAACACCTGAGACAATGGATTCTTGGATTTGTCCATCCTTAAACAGTTTTCCAAAACAGTGAGGAGTCCACTACTGTCCAGTCAGAGCAGTAGATGTCTAAACCTTTTAAGCTGTTTTTCATGATATATTCCTTTAAGAAACAAACAAGACGTCCACAATCGCTTCAGCCCACCAAAGCAGTGTTAAACATCCCTCATCTACTCAAAATGAGCAGGTTGTTGTGCAAATTGCTAGTTTCGCTTTTCACGTATGTCATTGGCGGGGGTTTACGTTGGCCTCGGACACAGGGCATTAACTTCCAATTTGACCAGCTCTATGATCTCCGCTTGGGTAGGTGAGCGATTGAAGGGCATAACTGAGAAGACGGTACGGAATGAAAATATACTGGATCTTCCTAAATGTGTTTGCTCAAGGGACCACAGACAGAGCTTGCAAATACTTCGTAGCCCATCGTCCCCCAGGTTTGTTTGTTGGCTGGCTTCTGGTAGATCCACTGGTGTACGATGACACTGAGGGGGCAGGCAGCGGGCCCACACGAGGTCAAACAGGAAGAACTTAATCCGTTTAGTTCATCCCCTTGCTCATTTGTTTCAGTTGGTTGTTTTTTCTCCTTCTCCCCTTCATTCTGTAAAACCCATTTGCTGCTCAAAGCAAGATACGCTTGTCTCAAACCATTTCAGACATGATTACAATGGCAGGTATTCGTGGAATTCTGCTTAGGATCAACACGGTTGCTGTGACGCATGTGCAAATGGATTCTTACCAGAATATTCCAGTCGTTTTCACCTTAATCTGGATTACCTCACCTAATCTCAAAGTGTATGATTGATTACTGTTAACAATGCAGTTAATAGAAAGCCAGTGGGCAGCTGCTGAATTCGGTCAGTAAACGCTTGTGTGAAAAAACTTACGGTAACACTTTCTATGAATGTCACCTTTGTAAGCGTCTATAAACACATTCATAACATGTTATAATGCATTCATAAGGCATTATAAACATGGCTATAAATATTTATAAAAATGCATTATATGTTATAGCCATGTTTATTATGCATTATGAATTGTTAACATAATACATTATAAGTACTGTTCATAACAAGTTATAAGAGCTCATAAGTTGTATTTGTCTGCTCTAAGTAAAGTGAAGCGTACTGTACTAAAGCCTCCTCCAGTGTTAAGAGTGAGGCTTCAAGTTGAAGTATTTACTGAAGGATTTACTGAAACACTAAAACATACATAATAAAGCACATTACAGGCTTCAAATGTCAGAGTTTAAACTAGAGCTGCCATCAGTGTTTTACCCAATGTGGTCAATGTAGTCAATGTACACCACCGTTAGCTTGGTATTTGTCTTTACTTTGCAGTCTCCAAGCTGGGACTGACTTCTTTGGCACTGACATTATAACATGTTATTAACACTATTTATAATGCATTATATTAGCCATTCATAATGTATTATAAACATGGCTATAAAGTGTAATTCAGTGTAATTCATTTCTATACATGTTTATAATCATGTTTATAATGCCATATGAAGGCATTATAACATGTTAGAAATGTGTTTATAGATGCTTACAAAGGTGACATTCATAGAAAGTGTTACCAAACTTACTTCTATAAAACACTTTCATGAATTGCTGAGTCTAAGGTATTTATACACTGACGGTTCTTCTTTAGTAAAGAAAATGGTCCTATATAGAACCATGAAGACTCAAAGAACCCTTGGCATGCTTAAAGTGTTCTTTGCATCATGAAAGCATTCTTTAGATTGATGAATAATCTGCTGTAGATGTGCTTTTTGAAAAGGGTTCTATATAGCGCCAAACAGGGTTCTTCTGTTGTAACAAGCTTGACACCATAACAGTAGAAGAACCCATTTTGGTGCTATGTAGAACCCTTTTCAAAAAGGTTCTGTATACAACCATCTACAGCACATTCTTCATCAATCTGAAGCACCCTTTTAGAACGTTCTATATAAAACCATGAACACTCAAAGAGCCCTTTGCAATGTGAAAGGGTTCTTCTGACTGATGATTCTATATAGAATGTTTTTGAAAAGGTTCTATATAGCACCAAAAAGAGTTCTTCTATTGTGACAAACTTGACATCATAACAATAGAAGTTCCCTTTTTGGTCCTATGTAGAACCCTTTTCGAAAAGGTTCCATGTAGAACCAACTACAGCACATTCTCCCTCAATCTGAAGCACCCTTTCATGATGCAAGGAACCCTTTAATCATGCAAAGGGTTCTTTGAGTGTTTATGGTTCTAGGTAGAACCATTTTCTTTACTAAAGAACCCTTGAAGAACCATCATTTTTTCCCACTGTGTGTAAAGTGAGCTGTAATATTCACTCTTTGAAAGTTGGGACTATGTATGTTACCAGCATAGTTTTTACAACATCCATGGATACTAAAAAATCCTTAGGGAAAGCAAAAGGAACCAGAACTGCTTTTTGCTGTTTGGAAATGGTTTTGAATTCACATTATACAGTCACATATTTCAAACTCTGTTTTGCGGAATTCAGCAACTGCCCAGTGGCATCTATTATAAGTGAGTTTAGACTCAACTGGTTTTCTGTTCTTTCCGAAATACAGAGAAATTCATCACCATTATTGTCTGTGGTAACTGACAGAATGATACAAATATGTCAGATAGAAATTAGATTAAAAAAAAAACACTGGAGTTTTCCTTTAAATATGATCCCAAAGAACTCATCATGTCTTTTGCATATCACGGACCCTCAGCTCGAGTCTTTGTTGAACGGGTATCAGACAGATCCTTCATCCCCGCCACAGTAATATAGCTTTTCCTTCTGGGAGTGTGCAGGCCAGGGCAGAGACTGGGTCTGTGTTGTGGAGGCGCGCGAGCGGCGGGAGCCATAGACTGAAATCAATACAGCATTACCCCATCGGGCGTACACTCACGCCCCGCTAATGTAAACTGCAGATGCCTTCTGGGATAAAGAACCACTTCATAGGCCGGGTAGTCTATGAACACAGAGTGCAGTGCATGTCTGCACTAATTTTGCACATCAAAAAGCGCTTACAAGTGGGAGCTGCTCTGCAGCAGTTTGTCTTAGCCGTCACCACCGGGGCTGAAGCCTTGTACACGGACTCGTCATGAAGGCGCGAATGTTTACGGCAGAATCATGAGTATGATGACTAAAAGGTGATGGAAATATAAATAGTGAAAGTGGAGATTTAGATAAGCTTGTGTTTATAATGGCACACAGTATGTAATGGTCTTTTCAGTAGTGATTCTGTAGTGATTTGACTAATGAGGGATTTTTGTGTGGGTGCAAGTGCGTTTGGAGGTTTTCCTACAGTCAAAACAGCCATTACAACTACAGCACCGCAAGTCATTTTTCAGGAGATACCCTTGAGAGGATTAGATATAAGATAATTCACTCGGAATAAGGAATTATTACATAAGGAAGAAGACAGTCTAAGGAGTTTTCAAAACTGGAGTTCAAAAATTATTGAAAGTTACGGAGGAAATGGGACATCCAACAACTGTGCAAGACCTGTTAGGCATCAAAACTGCCCCCATGAGATAAACAGCACTTAAAGCTTTGATCTCTGAGAGAGAGGAGAAAATCAAGCTGCTTCAGATCTGAAAACATCCACAGGTGTTTCTGTCCATCCTTCCACTGTGAGAAGACGACTCAGCGCTATGGGTCTGAAAGGATGTGTAGCTGTCAAGAAGCCTCACTGAGAAAAGGAGATTGGACTGACAATGCACTGACCACCACCCCAGAGTCCAGACCTCAACATCACTGAATGTGTTTGGGATTACTTGTAACATGAGAAGCAGTAAGACTGAACTTCAGAGGTGTGGAAAAATATTCCTGCAGGTTCTGTTTGAGAACCTAAAAATGGAAGCAGTAATAAAGAGTGGACAAATTAATATATATATATATTAGTTTTTTTGCAGTTTTTCAGTTTTTGACATAATATGAAAATGCCTTTTGCCCTTTACATTGTGTGTAAATCTCATGATGAATGGACCAAAAGAAACGGCCCAAAATGACTTGGAAAAATGTTTGGTCCCATTGGCTTACATTAAAAGTAAAGTAGTTTATTTCCTTCTCCTGTAAAGTTATCATTTTGGAGATACCAGGTTTTCTTCCGACAATAGCTACATATATATACATGCATGAAACACACTGTAGCATATGGAACATTTGTGTGATCCCACTGACTGTGTGTGTGTGTGTGTCTGTCTGTCTGTCTGATAGGGCCCAGTGGGGTGGGTGTGAGTGAGCTGAAAAGAAAGCTGCTGCTCTCTGATCCAGAACACTTTGGTGTGCCTGTACCACGTGAGTTCTCTTTACTCCTTACTCTACGGCCGATTCACACTTTCATGTAAATGTTTTTTTTTTGTCTTCAATGTCTGTTGTTTATTTATCTGTATTTCTCTAATGGTAGATAACAATGTTACTTCAGCAAACACTCTTTTTAATTTATAGTCCCCCACTATAAATGTGCTTTTTTGAAGTAAAAGAGTTTGATGTACTAAGCAAACGTCAAAGCTTCTGAAGTGGAAACAGTAAAAGCTGCAAAAACAGCCTGTCTTGTATTTATCATGGTTAATTATCATTAACACTTTTACATAAAACTGTCCATTCAGCCTACAGCAGTTTAACCCCACCCATTCATGCTGAAGTGATGCAGAGTGAGGTTCATGCAGACAGTATGTAGTTCCTGTCGGGATCAATGTAGCCTTCCAAAGTGTCTATATATCCAAAGGAGCAGCTAAAATGATTTATTCTGACATCCCTGAGGATTTCAGTCTGAATCAGTTTATTCTGTACATTTTAGCCTGGGTTGCTTTTTGAATGCAGTATGCCTCTGTTCACTTGTGAAAGGGTCAGCCGATCAGAACAGGGTCATTTACATGTATCAATGTTAAAAACACAGAAAACGTCCGTTTAATTCTGAGAGACAAGGAAAGGTTGGAAAATGTTCATGTAGAATCAATTATGAAATATTCTGGTACATAAACCCACTCAAACAAAAGGAGATTTTCTCTTTATATTTTCAGTAATCATTTCCCAAAATCTCTCCGCCTCAGAATCTTTTTATTCACCAAGTACAAAATGTGCAATAAATATTTTTCTGTGTGGGTGTAGCATGGATTAAGCTTAATTAAACGTATTAAATCCCTTCTACAGAGCAGCAGTACTGCCAGTATAGCAAAGCCCCCCACACACGTCCATGGGTGTGTATGAAGCCTGCCACATGTGTGATTCAGTCTAGCAGCCACACTGCACTGCTGGAGTAGAACAGCAAGCACTCAGCCTTAATCACTAAAGTGCCAAAACAGACATCTGGCTGGTACATCATCAAACAATATGTGAGGGAGAGAATGTCTGTCCTTTATTCAGCACCCTTCACCAGTGAAGCTTACTGCATCCTCTGTGGGCCCTAACACAGATACACCTGGCACAGCTGAGAATCAAAAACCGGTATTCCAGATGTAGCGCGCAGCTGTGCAGATCAGAGCAGCTGCTGATAACCACAGAAGTCATAATTATCGGCAGCAGTATCGAAAGCATGGTGTGTCTTATACTAACCAGTATACTAATTAATTACTCATAGCTTGTTAAAACAAGCAGAGACATTTTGTGGAAAATGTAGACACTAAACTTTCAGTCCATATCACATTTGAGTTTGTAAGTGGGAGATTTTTTAGATTATTTAAATTTAGTGAAAATGTCATAGAAGGAGAAACCATCCTTCATATTTTTGCCATGTTTTTGACTTTTTTTTTGTATTTAAAACAAAAGGAAGAATATAAATATAATTCATTGCTTAACTAACAAAGTTATGCAGTTACATCTAAATAATTTCACAAATGAATGTTTAGCGAAACAACAATAATGACTCTAGGCATGTAACTGTTAACCAAGTGTATCCCTGAATGCATTTACATGCACATAACTGCAGAAAATCAGATTTTGGCAATATGTGATCAACATGTTAACAAGCACTTAATAATCTGGGGCCGTATTATAGAAACTTTGTATCATTTTATCTTAACTTTGATCTATCTGACAGGTCAAGACAAGATTTTTTCACAAATGTGTATTACAGAAGCAAATCTTATCTTGATTTAGACATCTTATCTTACAGCATATTTTCTTAAATTAGAAAATCTTAACTTACTCGATCGAAGTTGACAATCAGCTGTCATGTCTGTTAATAAACATAAACACCTAATCAAAATAATCAAGTTAGATAGCCAGACAGCAAACTTCCATTACAGATGGAAAAAAGGTCAAACAAAACTAAAGCGCAATAAACTTGAAGTTCAGAATATTGTGACTGTTTATCAGAGTCGCCGTTCTCCAGTTTCAGTTTCATTTGCCAAACGCTTTAGCCGAGCGCGCTAACGTTATTCTCCTAATAAACAGACACCCGTTCAGCTCTGTCTCCTCATTATTCACCACCATCACTGTAATATTTTATCTGACCAGTTTTCATCAACATAAACACCTGAAGGTAATAAGAGGGGACAGTGGAGATCGAGTCTGCAGTGTCTGGGGCTTTAAAAATGCTGTTAGAAAAACTCTATTATGCCTGTCACTGCATAAAATGATAGAAACACATGTTAAGACAGGATTTAAGACACCTTTGGGGTCGCCTTAAAGTTAGGACAGAATTTAGGATATTTATCAAGTTAGGATGTTTCTGTAATATTGTTTTGTAATCTGGAGTTAATGGATAACTATGAACTTAAGAGCTGTTGTTCTGTAATAGCCTCTGATCCTAAATTCGGTCCTAACTGAGGTTGTCATGGTGACTAAGCAGATTAGATAAGATTTTAGACTTAAGACGTTTCTGTAATATGGCACCCGATGAACAACATCTCTATATGAGTCACTAAAGAATCAGATTTCTTTCTGACTACATTAGTGACCAGCCCATAATCTCACCAAAGCGCAGCATGTGACCTGAAAAAGTCAAACTTCTTGCTGCAGTTATCTTTTTACTGTTATATACTTATTTGGAAGGTTATTTGGTTCCAAATTGCACTGAATGCAGTCATTTATCTGCATTTTGCAGTTGCAGCATAATAAGTGTTTACTGCTTTGCAGGAAGCTCCTCTTTAGCTGGCTCTGTTTGCACAGACATGCAGAACAAAAGAAATTAGATTAAGGGTATACATGTGCTGAACATTTCAGTTCTCTTGTAATCAGATAACGGCTTTAATACAATAAAAAAAAATCTATTCTATGCTATGCTATTTACATGACCACTTCAATAATTGAATAACTGCAAAAACCCAACAGTGGTCATATTATTTGTGTGCATGTAAACACACTCCTAATGGGGGAGCCACATTTTTCTCCTAAAACTAAAAATCAAGCTATTCTTTCCCTAATCTCAGCCTTAGATGCCTCGCCCATGAAGTGTCTGATATCTTTAGGAAGCTAAGCTGACCACAACTATCGGTACTACACATCACATATATATGATGTTCCATGGTTGGTTATTTTGCACATCAGTCAAACGGCCCTTTCCTGTCAAAGTAGGTGGTTCTTACTCACGTTAAGTGATAAAACGCACTGGATTCTCTGACATTAGGAAGAAGTTTGACTTGCGATAGGGTTGCATTTCTGTACACTAGTCCACTAATAAATCTACTAGTCAACACTATGGGCAGCAGGCGACTAGATGAGCACAGTGGCTGAAATACAGTGGTGGTAAAACTGCTCTTGTGTGAAACATGCAGTGAAAAGGCAGGAGGAGAGAACAGAAATCAGCCTTTTCTGCTAAACATCACACTATTTAAAACAAAATGAAACAAATTCCACTGCAAGCATGCGCTGAAATAGGCTCGTAAACCAGTCCAGGTAGGTTTTAAGAACCACAGTGGGAAAGGGCCTTTTGACTGACATGCAAAACAACCAATCAAGAATGTTTAGCACATGTGCAGTGAAAACAAACAAGCTTTGTGAGACGACTCTTTCCCAACTCTCTTATAAATACTTACAAATTAAGTATATTTCTAGGGTTTTGTATCCTCCAGAAGTGTATCTATAAATCCACACTCATGCCTACAGCTGCTGCCATGAAGAACTGTACACCTAAAGAGCGGACTCAGCTTTTCACTGCCAGTCTGCATGTCAAAGAGAGAGAGAGAGAGAGAGAGAGAGAGAGAGACTGGGAGGGGGAATCAAGGCCTCTCACAGCCTGATTGTCAGTGTGGAGTGATGGAGGCCCGAATTTTTCTCCCCATGCTGGACGCCTGCCATCCTCCTGCCCCCGGCTGATGCTTTGGCCGGCCCGTCTCTCTCCCCCCTGCAAGCTCCGACTGACAGCTTGCCATATTTCTGACCACACTACAAAACTCCACACTGTAGCAAAACGGGGTGAGGGGCTTTACTCACTCTGACAAACACATTTATTTGATTTACACGTTTCAAGCCGTGAGCGCTAGAATTGTCCAGTTAGGTGGAGGCCTTGATTTAACGTCAACACAAGCTGGTTTCTGTATGTGACAGTTACGGCTAACAACGGAAAACGTATAACCCACAAAAGATAAACAGCCGTGTTGCCATTGTTGTTTTTTTTTCGGAGAGCCATACAGCGGAGGCTAATGTTTCAGACTGCTCTCCCTGAAGACACATAAGGCCTTGTCAAACTCCACCATTGACTCCACCGTGGTAATATATACTCTGCCTATCTGAAGTCTGAACATTGCTTGCCTGCTTTTGAACTTCTGCTTTGTTGCCTTTCAATTAGGCAAGAAAGAATCCTTACAAAGTTTTTGCTAGTATAAAGCTGCTATATGCTAATCCTTTGGATATGTTTAGCTACAATACTCGGCTTACATTTTTTTTGGATAGAAAAGGAGGGTTTGCTGAAATAACTTTTGTTAAAGCCACATGATGAAACTCGTTTCGCCCAAAGGTGCTTTAAATATATGAAAGGTTTGAGTGATGATGAGTGGTGATGTCACAACAAGGGGATAAATGCAAAGCCTTTGGCTTTACTCCCAATGTAGCACTGTCACAGTACCACGATAACACTTTTTCCCTTCTGATATGGAAAGCTTATACTGAAATATCTGCCAATACCGAGTATGGATACAAACTCTATCTATCCACATAGGTGCCTATAAATCTTGATATTTTATGCAATTTCACTTTTTCTGTTCCGATACAGAAACCCTATACTGAGTAGATACTAACACTCTTTATCCAAATAGGTGCCTATTAATCTTAATATTTATACCATTACACCTGTTAAAAGTTATGAATATCAAAAATAAAACACAGTAAGCTAAATGGCTTTGACTAAATGGCTTTGACTAAATGGCTTTTATTGGTTGGACGTCTTCACATTTGAATGATTTTAGAGCTACGAAACGTTGCTGTGCTCTTTAACATGGTTTATCTTAAATGCTCAATTAAATTTGTGTTGAAATCCTTGCTGGTTGTCCCTCGAAATATTGGCGTTACAGATTTTGCAATGTTTTTTTCTTCTGCTTGCCTTGAATGTGAAGTAATTTCAACAATATCTCACCACCGACATGTTGCTTACTCCAGTTAAGCAGTTCCTTATGTAAGATTTTTTAGTAGCATTACTGAGTCAGGCCGAAAAAAAACAGCTAAAATATGATGTGTGTGTGTGAGCTGCTGCAAGCCACCCTGTAAAGCCTGAGATAAACATTTAAAAGTCAGAGGCGTCGGGTCGGGAGTTTTTCAGAACCTGTCATACGTCTTTACAAATTAACATCACACATAGTCTCAAAAAGAAGGTCTGTCTCAATGTTTAGGCCTCAAATGTAAAACGAACATTATACTGAAGAGGATATGATTAAAGGTTTTAATACAGTTTTCTATGCATTCTTTTTCAACACACTTACAATTATCCGATTCATCCATTCGGGGAAGCAATTCATCCACTCGGGGAAGGGGTCCAAAGCACAGCACACAAGTGGTTCCCCTGCATGTTATGTGCAGTTACACATTTCTACCAGAGAGGTCGCCAAATCCTCAAAACTTACTGTCTACTGGCACGCATGTAAGTGCCACTTAGTAGTTCACGTGCACGTCAGGAATTGCTTCATGGTATCAGTATTCTCTACTGCCGATACCAGTACTGTGTTTAATTGCCAGTATCGGGGCATCAGTTTCAGTGCAGCACTAATTTGTGATGTTATTTTCCTTCTTAGTCTTAAATATGACATTAAGTTATTACATGCTGACAAAGCAAGCATGCTCATTCATACTAAAACATTTTGAAAAGCTATCAAGTGTCACCAAACTTTCGACAGGCAGTTTATGTTGAATATCATCAGTTATTTTGATGGATTAAATGATTGCTTTTGCAATATCTCTTTATGGCAGATTTATTAGGTTCAGACTTCCGCGGATGGCTCAGTTATTCGCCTTATCACTCAGCTGGCAGGCTCCAAAGAAATGGCTGATGTGTTTTTGTGTCCAGCAGAGACTAGCATGCTGACACACATACACACGCTCACACAAAGCATTTGGCCTGTCTTTGTACCCTAGCAGGGGTGGTAAAAAGTTTATAGTTTGTTTTGGCTCAAGTGTGAAACGTGTGGACAATTAGAGTTAGGGTGTGTGGTGAGCTCCTGTAGCCTTGTTAAACTCACCTCTGAGCATGCTTTCACTGTGACTCAGGCCAGTTAAACTGAGGCCTTCTCGCTGCCGGACCTCCAGCTGATCTAACGCTGACCCTCAAATAATCTTAGATGGCAACATCTCTTAAAAGCTGATTTGTCCAGCAGCATTTGATAGTTACAACTGACCTATCCATGCCATGTATAAGTGACATGTACTCTGCATTCATACATAGACCCTTAAAGGCAAATTCCATAGATTTGATTTATTTACGCATAATTAAATTGTTAGGTCATTTAGAGTGGTTTGATGAGGTTCTAGAGAAATCTAAATATCCTGTCTTCTGGAGAAACCTACTGAGTCAGAATTGTTCACAGTGGTGGTCATAGGAACCAGACATCTGAAGAGTTTAATGCATCTAAAAGTTCCCTCACAAAAAGTTATTACACGAGATGATTATGAATATATTTCCTGATGTCTGAGACATTATTTCTTGATTAAATGTATTTTAGAGGCACACATTGTTGTAAGGCAAAAAAGCGCCCCCCCTCCCCCTAATTTTTCTTTCAGATTTATTACTACTTTTCCTACAGACATTACATATAAAAACTCAGAAGACATGTGTAAGTTTACTGGTGGTTTTAGATAGTAAATAAAATGGCTATTTTTCTGTAGTGGACATTGTGACCCCTGGTTCCTGTCACCGCTGCTGTAAAGAAATCAAAGTTGGTAAATTTCTTTACAGTTTTTCTACAGCATACATTATGGTGTGTGTGAGTTTCCCTGTAAAGCCTGAAATAGTCATTTAAAAGTCACAGGTGTCGGTTCAGGAGTTTTTCGGACCACTTTATAAGTCTGTACATATTAACGTCACATGCACAGCCTCTAAAAGAAGATCCAACTCGATGTTGACATGTTAAACACAAAATCAACATTATACTGATGAAGATATGATGATAATAGTGGACAATTCACTCACATCCTCAGAAGACACGTCCCTCACCAAGTTTTGACTGAGTTCTCTTTGAACTCTCTTTCAACACACTGGAAATCATCAGATTTAACTGCTTGGGCAAGGGGTCTGAAGCACAACCCACATTACAAAGTGTTTGCGTGCAATTACACATGTCCACCAGAGAGGTCTCCAAATCCTTAAATCTTACATAGAATAGCTTTAATTACTTCTTTAAAATAAATGGAATTCACTTTAACAAGCTCTTTATACAGTATGGTCAAACTGATTCATAGTTCATGTATGAGTGAGTTGTCTTAACTTATATTGTGACTGAAAATGAGGATTCTCAAAAGACTTCTTGTGGCAATAATGCTAAAGCAGGGGCCAGTTAGCATTATGCCAATGCGAGTATAGTAAATGGTTGCCATTAGCTTTGATTCACTCTAAGACATGTTAATATTTTTAGGTGTAACATTACTTTAAGAACTAAAGTTCTTCTTTGATTTCCACAGACACGACCCGTGAGCGCAGAAGGTATGAGAGAGAAGGAGTGGAGTACCATTTTGTGTCCAAGCACGCTTTTGAAAAAGATATTCTCAACCACAAGTAGGTCTGACGCCACTGGCTGGCACCTTGTTTTAGTGTTGTAGTTCAGGATACAAACCTTGATGTTGTTCACCCTTTTACTGTACATTAACAGATCATGTCAGCTACTCCCTGTAAACTTTAATCGTCATGGTAACACTTGTGGATGAAGTATACATTAATAAAACTAGCAAAAGTATTACATTAAAGGGTAATTCCATCAACTTAAAAAAATATGTATGATTAAATCAGTAAAATGTCAACAAAGCCATTCAGAGTGGTTTGCGGTTGAATGCTTTGTTCTAGAGAAACTTACAGAGTCAGAATTGTTCACAGTGGTGGTGATAGGAACCAGACGTCTGAACAGTTCAATGCCTCTAAAAGATCCATCACAGAAAGGTATTACATGAAATAGTTAGGAATACGCTGCCTCATGTCTGAAACATTGTATTATGATAGTTTTGAGAAGAATCAATGTTTTATAATTGATAATAAATGTATTGTAGCATGTTCGAGAAGTGCTTTGTTAGTTGAGGTTATTACTTCTTCAGCATTCATTCATGGGGTTATTCTGCTAAGGACTCTTAATGTGAAGGCCGGGCTAGTTCCGCCAGGGGGGCCGGTATATGAGAGAGCAGTAAAATCTTCAAGTCAGATGGAAGCTGAGCGCTGAGAGAGTAAAACATGAGCTGAGTAGTGAGCGAGCTGTTAGAAAAACTCTGCACATGTGTATCGGTGTAGCTGTGGGCAACAGCTGGAAAATAAAGCACCACTACTTAAGTGAAAGCTATGTCTCTTTTAATATTGGTGAATGCTACAGTGTTTTGTAAAAATAAATTAATGTCAGAGAGGTACATGTAGGCAAAATAGTCACCAAAATATTTTTTCTGATTTCCCACTATTTTATCATAATCAACATTAGATATAAGGTATGCTTGGGTTGACTGGTGGTTTTGTATAGAAAATAAATTGGCTATATTTGTGTTGTCGACATTGTGAGACCTGGCTCCTATCACCACCCAGATCATGAAAATCCTAGAAAAGTCATGGAATATAGAAATTTGGTTTTCCAGACCTTGAAAAGTTATGGAAAATAAGTGCTGGAAAAGTCAAACAATTTCCTGGACTGTTTCCACATGCGGCTCATCACTTAATCTCATTTGAAACATTGATGAGTCTACAAATTTTGTACATCGGTGGAATTCCCCTTTAAACTAGCGTTGAAGCACTTCATCCAGGAATTCTATGCTCAGCACCTATAATGAAATCAGCTAAAGTGGCACAGATTTAAATTCAAAACGGCAAAAGATGTGTAAACTCTCCGTCCCTGCTCTCTCATTAGATACTTTTCTCATCCCTTTTTCCATCGATCACAACATTTGACCTTCCACGTCGTGACTGCTCTGTTCCAGCCTTCAAAGATGCTCCTGGAATTTACATCACATATTTAATCCTTTTTAGGTTTTAAAAGCAGCCGCTCGCGACCAAAAACTGACAGGAAATACCCACTTTCTCCCCTTTCTCACTCGAAAGCAGATGGAAATCTCTAAAGCATGCGTCCGCGAACAGTGTCACATTATATTGAACGGACGGGATATTTTAAGAGTTCTCTGCGGTTTCAAACGACTTGTTAGTCGGACATGCGGAGGGAAAGCAGCGAGAGCAGAATGGTGGCATGGGCTCTGGTAAAGCAGACAGCCAAACTTTTCCAGAATATGGAGCTAAAAGGAGGGAGAGGAGGCTGCCTTATGCATGACTGCACTGAATTACATTCATCTTTGATTAGGAGACGAGTAGCCAGACGTCTAATTTTTAAACCTTAAGCTGGAGCCAAGACAAAGCATTAATAACTATCTACAGCGAGTATGTGTCCTGTTTGCTTATTTGCTTTGTCTGTTTGAAATATATAAACCGCTTAAAGTATACACTTTACAGCACCGGCAATAAGCAGTTATGAGCGAGATATTCTAAAGTCCTGCTGGAATGTTATGGAAAAATCGCAAGCATTGTTATAGTGATTTATACAGCAACCATGAAAATGTGCTTTTACGGTCGCCATAAAGTCGTGATCTATGTGCATGGCTGAATTTAAGACAAGGTTATCTGTTAGCGTTGGGCCTATTCAGATAATCTGCGGATTAAAGCGGCAAAATAACAGAAAGCGTAAAAGGATGAATTGGCTTATTTTCTGCACAAAAGTGACAATCTTACGGAAAAGGTTGCATTTGTGTGCGCTTTATCTTCCCTGGATGGAAGTTTTGGCGCCTGTCCTCCGATGTTTGACCAAACAGGTGGCTCCAATTTAAAGTGTAACATAGGAGATTAGATAAAGCCGTGCAGTGCCAAAATGTCTGGAAGGGTGATCTCCTGAAATACGCTACAACTTACTCCAAATGGCCCTGCTATTCCCTACGGTGGAAGCCGGTGCATTATTATCTCTAATGCTAAACCAGAACAGGAGATGAGAGGAGTAAGATGTGGCGGGTCGATGACGGTTTGGGCGCCTTCCCATTTTCCCCTCCCGCTGTACGAGGGCGTCTGAACCGGGCCAAAGCGCTTACCGCTCTCATGTGCCACATATACAAGCAGCAAAGGGATGAATGTGGCAAATTGACCACAGGCAAATTGGCTGCAGCTCCTACGACATGCGTGCGTTTTGGCCGCAGCTTCCACAGCCGCTTAAAGAGACTGTCAGTCAAGGGTGATGATGAGTGACTGATTGATGTATGGTTTATGTGTACATTTCCAAAGTTGGATTGGATCGTTTGTCATTCATCAATATCGTGTAGCATATCGTTGTTGTTGTTGTAAGAAGTCCTCAGATATCCGAAACTCTATGTAACTCTATGAGAGAAGGTGAAAAGATAGTTATGAAGTTTTTATTGCGATCTGGATGATATCCTACATGTAGTGTTCTATTAAATTAGTTTAAACTGCAGTCTCATAGTAAAAAAAAAACTGTTTAAAAAATTCATGAAGTAATCAGACCTTAGATATTTACAAGGATTAATATGATCTGTTTAAACCTAAGGCATTCATTGAGATAGTAATAAGATAAATATTTACAAAATCATCATTTATAGGGTATTTTCTATTGAGGCATGGCTGTTCCAAACCATAACTCCTAAATTTACACTTATGAAAACAATTTTTTCATATTTTTAATATATTTTTAAAATATACATTTAAAGTGAAATTGCAAGATTTGCATTTTCATTTCACTACCGAAACGCGAGTTTTAGTCCATAGGTGGAGCCTTATTTTAGCCACACCCCTGCATTTCAGAGCAGGAAGTAAGACTGCATCCCTGTCCCTCATGGCCATATGGTGAGCAGTTAGATCCCACTGTTTTGAAGTAAATGTGTCCCAAAGTCAGTGTGTAACATAGAGAATTGTCACAACCGAAAGGCCCATTTTCTGCAGTGAAGTAAACTTTTTGTGTTTTAATGAAAAATATTATGATTTTATGTGTGTACAGCTGTTCAAAGCTGTGCTTGCTAGTCATGTACTGGCTAGTGTTTTTGAATTCTGCTCAAAATGAGCTAAAATTGTCCAGTTTCGGTAGAGTTATGATTGTTCTGGTAGTGACAAAATAGACTGTTCTATCATTTTTTGTAATAAAATAAACATAATTAAAAAATAGAGTCACTCAAAGCAAAGGGACTGTAGAACCCAATAAAGTAATAATTTCCCAATGATGTAATAAAAATCCCAAAAAGTAATAAAATTTAGCACTTGCTCAAAAAATGTAATAAAACCCAATAATGTCATAATTTGCCCAATTCCAAGTACAGTCAAAAGTCCTGAGTGTGTGTTCAACTCTGACTCTGAACCAGTTCAGCAGAATGATTCACGCTGTCTTCAACTGTCCTTCAACAGGTTTATAGAGTATGGAGAACACGGGGGAAACTATTACGGCGCCAGCGTAGATTCGGTCCGCAGGGTTCTAGCGGAGAGCAAGGTGTGCCTGCAGGATGCGGAACCGCACGTGAGTTGTATTCGCTCTGTGTGTGGCAACGTTCAGTAGAGTCACGTGGTCATGTGTCAGCAACTCATATGGAAGGATGTCCAAGAAATGCCCTATTAGAAGACCTATTATTTCATAGCTTGTATTACGGGTTATTATTGCCAGTACGATACAAACACAGTGATCAGTTACAAGACCTCCAACTCTACAAGGCGGAGAGACAGACAGAGAGAGAGAGTCCTATATTACATGTCATATTTGTTGATTTTGGAGCTGAAACCCAAGGGCAGGAATTATGTCATTCTGGACAAGGAGCTTCTGTCAGCTTCACTCCAATTGGTACATTTCCTGTGGTCCGATTATTTTTCATCAGCTTGTAACATTTATAGAAACATTCTCACTATATTAACGAACAAGCTATACAAGCACATATTTGAGATTATGCACGGCCGAGCCAGCGGGCCTTGCGCAGAAACCCGGAATGCTTTGGTCAAGTGTTCCGTCCTGCTGATGCATGGAGAAGTTTTTTTTTTTCCTTGTTATTTTGGATGTGGAGGGAATCGGATGAAATGAAATTGTGGTATTACAAAATGAAACGATGCAGCAGCAGCGGGGCTCATGGCAGACAGGCCGAATGGAAACAAGCACAGCTCTTGTCTGCAGAACGGATGTCACTCTAATCATTTGATGACTGACTTAGCAAATTTCCCTTAACATGCTAACCAAATTGTTATCTCCTCTTCTTTTTTTTTTTTGAAGGCAATAAAGACTTTATATACAGCAGAATTCAAACCGTATGTGGTGTTTGTGAAGCCTCCAGCAATGCAACAGCTGAGGCTCAGTCGGAGAAGAGCAAAAATCCTGTCCAGTTGCAATGAGCCAACACCCATGAGGACGTTTTCGGTAAGGAGAGTCTCCTATTCAGCTTGAATTAAGGCTTTGGACACCTATTACAGACATGCTGATCACTCATAACGTAACTACATTTCCCTCTTCGCTCAGAAAAGCTGAAATGCCACTGTCACTGACCGCAGTCCACCACTTTACCATATTTTTACTTATTGTTAAGCTGACGTTTTATTATTCAGGAACTCTGTAGTCAGACTTGCTGTGAAATTCTGATATTATTGCTGTTATTAACTTAAACCAGAGGCGGGTTTAGTTATTCTGGGGCCCGAGGCAAAAGACAGGAATAGCGACCCTGGACGCACATTTTGAAATGAGCCACAGGTCATATTAATCCTGTGTGATTTTCCATGTTGGTAAATATCCATGCAGTCTTCATTGTTGGATGCATTGTACTGATTTATTTAATCAGAGTAATGATAAAACATGACTGACTGATGACATATTCCTGTTCATGTTTTCTTGTTTCCAAAAACACAGTTTGTCTACACAGTTTTGGCTTTGTGAGATCACGTTCATGTCAAATGAATGCACTAACAGCATTGAGAAGTCATGTTATTCATAGAAATGAATTGATTAAACAGCAGAAAGAGCCACTTTTGGGTCAGCCTTAAAAGACTCATTTAAAAGTAACAGTGAAAATTAAACATTACTCATTCAAAAATTTCAAAAGAAGGCAAGGTGTCCCCAAACAAATAAAAAAAACACAAAGAAGTGATTTCAGACTGCGCTCAAGAGTGACAGCTTTTAGCCATTAGCTAATAACGGGACCAGAGGTGGATATCGTTGCTGTCCAATGAAAAACATGTATCTCAATTTTTTTGCGATTTTCACTTTTCTGCATCATTTGAGCTCAGCAGCTGTCCTTTAAATTGTGTGAAGATTTCAAGATGATTGGACCAATAGAAATGCTCCAAAATGGCTTAGAATAAAATCTCTTTTCATTAACTTACATTGAAAGTAAAGGACATTTTTGTCCTCTCCTGTGAAGTTACTGTTTCAGAGATACTTGTTTTTCTTTGGACAGCAACGATATGTTGGTCATATAGATACAAACCACAGTAATACATCCCTAATAAACTACAATGAAATCACCACAAAATAGCTTTAAAATCAGAATTTATCCACTTAATTTTAATTTGGTTAAATTGTACACAATATATTTGTATTTACAATCCTTTTCCTCCTTTTCTCCTGTTTTCTACAAACTATTAGACATACACAAACACCATATTTTCACTTGTCTGACAAGCTACCATGCTGCTTGAGTCCTGTCCACACCCGAGCATGGACAGGGTCACATGTCCTGACCCAGTGTGTCTCGACCTCCTCCAGGCCTCCTTGACTTCTCATGGCAAAGGTCCCCTTTAAAACTTTTGCAGGGTGGGCTGCAGGTGTGCTCCCGGAGCACTGAAACAGGTTCTTCTGCCCTTAGCCCAGGCTTGGTGAGGTTTTGGGGAGCAGCAGGGGTCTCTGGGCGTTTGGGTGGAGAGTTGATCATTAACCCCACTGAGCCCCATATGGGTCATCCTGTGAACTGGCCCACCTAAAACCACCCCGGGGTCTTATAAAAAACCTTAGGTCATCCCCTACACACCTGGATGCAGTTTACATACTACCAGGCTCCGGAGTGCCCTACGGTGCACAAAGTGTTGCTCATCTTTCCATATTAACCTTGGACACTACATGCCAGACTCCATCAAGTCAGTGGTTTAACAAGGGCCATTTGGACATTGCTTCGGTCATGATCCAACTGCAGGGTCCATCTTTATGGCCTCCTGCGCTCCACGTCGTAGCAATACGACTCAACATGTTGAGTTTAAAAAAGAGAAGATTTATAACTTTTAAAATGAAATACTTTATGAGAGAGATCTAGACATGTTTATGGACAAGATGTGGGGAATCCATAAAATGTCTTTTTTATGACGAATATGGCAGACGCTGTCATCTTCGGATACTTCTTTGCTTTTCTAGTGGTCTGTTCAAATTGGTTATTACAACACATTAATGTCAATGAAAACAAGCTAAATGATCCACAGTGAGCTATTTTAAAAGAGCTTATTTTATTACTAATTAATTTTGTCTGTTGCTAATTGTAATTAAGCTACAATATGATTCAAAAGTTAGAGACCACCATTCATGTAATTAATTTCCAGTCAAAAAGGTCATTATATACAAGTTAGTCATTTATCCACTCTTCACCTTTATTACAGCTTCCACAGAAATCCACAGATATCGTTCCACACCTCCAAAGTTCAGTTTTAGAAGTTGGTGCATTTTCTGCTTCTCACAATCAAAGTAATCAAACACATTCAGTGATGTTGAGGTCTGGACTCTGGGGTGGTCAGTCCATTGTTCAGCTTCTTTGTCTGATGTGTCCGTCTCCTTTTCTCAGTGAGGTTCTTCTTGACAGCTACACATCCTTTCAGACCCATAGCACTGAGTCGTCTCCTCACAGTGGAAGGATGGACAGAAACACCTGTGGATGTTTTCAGATCTGAAGCAGCTTGATTTTCTCCTCTCTCTAAGATGAAAGCTTTAAGTGCTGTTTATCTGATGGGGGCAGTTTTGGTGTCTACCAGGCGTTGCACAGTCTATAGGAGCCCCAATTTCTCTGCAGCTTTTAATCATTTTTTTGAACTTTCGTTATGAAAACTCTTGTTTTTTCACTTATTTAATTTTGACTTTCTCCTTCCTGGAGTATTTCATATCTAATCTTATCTGAAAAATCTCCTGAAACATTAATAACTTTAATAAAATAATGTTTTATTGCTTGGAAATTTAATAACTGATGGGTGGTCTCTGACTTTTGCACAGCACCATATATATAAGCTACATCATGGCTGCCCAATGTCAGCCCACAAGGACGTTTGATTTGGCCCTGCCAGAAAGTTGCCATAACTCTCTGCTTGTACATCTTATGAAAGCATAACATATTTTTATACCTCTTATTTTATTACTGTTTTAAGATTGTATTGTGTAGTGCTTTAAGTAACAAAACATAGTGTATTGTTAACATTAAAAAAACAGATTTGCAACCGCCTACTTTCTTTATCTGCATACTGTTTTGTCTTTATGTCCCTCGGCACGCCATAAACGTTGCAAAACAAAACGTTTGGGCAAATCTGTGCTGTGTTATTATGCTAAGCTAGGTCTGTGCTTTTCGTGCTGTCGGTGCATTTAGTACAGATGTAAAACTCATTTATTACATATTTTACAGGACGCAGACTTTGAGGATATGATTAAGACAGCCCAGGCAATGGAGAACAAATACGGCTACTTGTTCGAGAAGATCATCATCAATGACGATTTAGCCTTGGCATTCGCAGAAATCAGAGCGGAACTGGCAGGACTTGAAAAAGAAACCAACTGGATCCCAAAAACATGGGCTCAGGCTTGAAAAATGTGGAATTTGTGTCATATGAACTGTTTGGATAAACTGTTATAACTTTGGTTTTCGTCATATTTAAACAAAAGATACAGAGGAAGAACACAGTGATTGCAAGACTATAAACTACAAGTTTTTATCCAACTAAATGTCCCGAGTTCAAGTATTGATTAATTCATTGTCCTGAATCAAAGCTTGTTGTGTTTCACAGTTGCATCGGGAATATGTTCATGTGTTGGAAAGCAAACATTCATAATTGCTTTATGTCTCCATCCAGCTCTTAAATGTAAATTGTTCTGTAAGCTGGACTACTCCTACACTCCCCCTCTCCTGCCTTTTGTGTACTGCTGTGGCTCATGTTTTGACATTAATCGCTAGCAGACATGGACTCACCATAACAAGATATGTTCTCAATTTGGATTAAGTAGGGTGGAGCAAGGCCACGTTCATCCCTCTTTAACTTGGGACTTCAAGAATGAACTCTGGACGATGCCTCTGAAACACGTCCAGGTAGCTGCAGCGTACAAGCACCAGACGTTTCCATTGCACTTCAAGAACAAACAAGGTTCCGATTTGCTTCTGATGCTGATCATAGCCCCAAGTCTCACAATGATTTAAATGTGTCTTAGTTTCCTGAAGAATGTCAGCTTGTTTAAAGCTGGAGTCTGCAAACATCAATCCATCAGTCAAACGCTCTCAAAGCTTTCCACACGAAGCGACTCGTGTTGTATCACCTTTTTTTAATCAATATGCAAAGCCAAAAGGGCCAACGGTTCCCATGCTATCTTTCCACACATTCTTTATTTTGATCTGGAAGGAGCGAATCGACACAGAAAGGAAGTGAAGAGGTTTTTTGGAAGCTATCAGGTCCTCCAGAAGCCAGAGGAGGAAGAGGAGCTTATTTTCTCCAGCATGCAGTATATTAAAGTGGAATTAAAGAGTGACAGGAGACTTTCCAGGGTCACTTTGGCCAGCAGCCTGGGCGGTACGATGGAGAGGAAAATCCACACATACCTGCCTTTCACCTTGTAGTCAGGCCAAAGCGAAAAGACAGTAAAATACGTAGGAAACTATCTATTAAGCTGAGAATCACCTACAGTTGATATGGGCATTACCACAGCAGAAGACGACAAAGTTGTTTGTGCGTTTACTAAATTAAAAATGGGAAAATGAAAGGTATTCCCTTGAAGGATATTTGATTTTATGGCATGGTTCAAATCTCACATTGCTTTTGCTCATTTTACAATCATAAGTGGTTTCGGAGATGCTAATGCTAGCCATCAGGTTTCACAGCAGAAGAAATGTTAGACTCATTTGCCATGGTAAGGCTGAACGCTCTGCTTGCTGAGCGATTCCATCCAGGGCCCTCGTCCTTAATGATGAAGCTGCAATCTTCCATAAGAGCTGGGAGAGGAGTGTAATTCCCTCATCGCCAAGTTTCCAAGTACCTGTGGTGGACACTGAATGCATTTATTGGTCAATCATGGCCCATCCAAACGTCACTGTCAATCAAACAGGTATTACATTGCCCCTGGTAATTGTTTTATAATCATTCAGCACGAGAGAAGGTGAGACGGAGTGAAAGGTTTGGAGAGCAGGACAGATACAGTACACGTCTGGTTTTGTGAGGAGAATCAGTGGAGGGCAGACAGCCCGTGCTTTGTGGCTTTTACGAGAGGTCAGGTTCTGGGCTGATGTCATCCCTATTAAAAGGCTATCTGAACAGCGAGGCAGGACTGAGTTAAATGGTCCAGGCTGCTTCACACACGTTCTGTAACCGACCTGCAAAAATATGGCCAGCGCTGACTGCACTGTGGTCCATGAACGTGTTTTCAGGCTACCTCGCTAATTATCACAATCATTGCAAGTGGCATGACGCTAATGCTACGCTAATGAAAAGAAGCGGCATGTGTTTCAGCTCAAATCATGGCACAGATGCTTTATCTTGTAGTTTAACAGATAGCGCTGCCTTCCCAAAAACTTCGTCATGCTTGGGGCGCTACAAAGAAACAATCTTAGCTTTTAATGAGAGTGGAATGGGAATGCTATTAACAGCCTTTTGAGTGAAAAACAGTTATTCCAATGCTATATTTACACTGCTTAATTACGTGGTGGAGGAGGTCATTTGACGTGAATTCATGCATTATGGGCCAAGGACAATAATTTAGGTACAACGATGCCTTGTGATGATTGGTGAAATGCAGAAATCCTGTAGAGGTTTCACACCAAGAATCTAATTTCCAAAACTATATAGCACCTACGTCCAGCAGCACAGTCAATGATTGGTTGGTGTGTTTTTCATGCACCAGTCATTGATCAAACTACCAACATGGCAACTGCCAACTTTTTAACATGTGCGAAAGGCTTTTATAAATCTGGCCCTGAGACTGAGTGGATGAAATGGTCTCCAATGGGCCGCACTTTCTGTTGGACAGCATATGCGCTTCTATGCCAGACCAGGCAATGTTCCTGGACCGAGTTACCCTAGAACCTTCTGTTGGAGCACGCAGAGAGAACACTAAAACACCTCCATCTCCTGAGATCCACCAGGGCACAGGGCACATCGGTTATTATATTTCGAACTGTCTAATGAAGGCTGTGAGAATGGACGTCTATTCTTTAAGACGTTAATACTTCATCATATAGGTGCTTTGTAACTCCGCTCCCATTCGCTTAACTCTTCTACAGACAGTTGAGCCTGTCTGAGACTGTAATGGAAGTGAAATATAGTACGGTCTCTTTTCCATCTGTCGCTACACAGCGGCCTACAAATGTGAAATGAATAGTCATTTGTTCATTGAAAGTTAGAGGCCTTGGAGTTTACAAAATATGACACTTTTAACAGACATGTAATTGCAGTTCAGCCCAGCGTTTTCATCGTGTCCTCGACCAAAAAGCATGCAATCAAAGTGTTTTCGTAATACTGATGAATCAATGCACATAACACCATAGTGGTGAAGAGGGAAAGTTTTGTTCTGAAGGCACTCATTTAGATTCCAAACACATCAGTCTCCAGAAACAGGCTGCTTTTGTACCAGCTAAGCATTTGTTTAGCCTTTTTCATAAACTCGTCCCACTTTATGGCATCTGTGTTGGCTCGGTTTCTAAACGGCTCGGTAATTTTTGCATGCTAGTATTAACGATTCCTATTAGCTGGCCATTTTCTGATTCCAAGTGTGGCTTAGCTAAAACCCTCTGGCCTTTTCAGAGCTTAGAGATGTTCTGTAAATGTTTTGGACATCTAAGCAGACATGTTGCTGCCATATCAGAATCTAATAACTTTTCCGTTTTTTATTTTTTTCACCATCTGAAAGTGCCAGCTGAGCTTTACGTTGTGTGAACATTTTATGACGAATGGACCAAAAGTACTTGGAATAAAATAGGGGTGCAAATTTGGTCTGACAAGTGGAGGGGACCAACGCAGGGAGGCTAAAGCCTACATACAGTAATTAAAACGTGAAACTAGGTGGAAAAGTACACCTGCATTTAGTGTTGCCATATTGTCATGATATCTAAGGCCTGTAAATCACAATAGGAATAATGTAGTGTACTTTTCTGTATGTGAATTTCTTGACCTTTACAGTGGCAAGTTTTGGTGTATTATTTGTCACTGAAATACAGTGAAATTCAACCAGTTCTTTGTCTGATCATACATACATCATCTAAACCGCTTATCCTTCTGGGTCGCGGTGGGGTGCTGGAGCCTATCCCAGCTGTCATTGAGCAGAAGGCAGGATACACCCTGGACAAATTGCCAGTCCATCGCAGGGCAGACAGACAGACAGACATACACATTCACACACACCTAGGGGCAATTCAGCATGTCCAATCAGCCTGACTGCATGTTTTTGGACTGTGGGAGGAAACCGACGCAGACACGGGGAGAACAGGCAAACTCCACACAGAAATGACCCTAGTTGCCCAGCCGGGAATCGGACCCAGGCCATTCTTGCTGTGAGGCGACAGCGCTACCCACTGCACCACCGTGCCACCCTTTGTCTGATCATGTTGCAATAGATAAGACTTGAACTTCTCAATTAGGTGAAACTTCTCAGAGTAAACAGCCAACATAAATATCCAAACAGCAGACAGAACAGGCCTCAAACCTTTAGAGCTGTGAACCTTGGAAAAATGTAGTTTGGCGTTTACGACCCTGAAAAAAAAATGATTATGCACGAAAGGCATGGAAGAAAACGGCACTGTTTAATATACCAAAATAGAAAAATACTATTTACAGAAAAAACTCTATTTTGCATTGAGTTTTACTGAGCATGTTAAAGAATCCTACAGCTGTTTCACACCACCTTTCTGAACGAAGTGATGTTTTAAGCTAAAAAAAAGTCAACAATAACCAGAAATACATTCTCATATGAGATAACTGAATGTTCTGCTTCAAGCCAAACCTTTTCTGACAGATTTGGCCATTTTTTAACGTAGATAGACGTGTGAATAAAATCTTGTTACATTAACCTGCATTCAATTCCAGATGTTTTATCTCATTCGTACGAATTTGCAGATGGAAAGGACAAGTATCTGCATTGTCTACCAGTAAGGTATTCACTAGTAAAGTATTCCTTTTTCCATCAGTGTGATTATTTTGACTACATGCATAAAAAAAAGACTTGTAGAACATAAGTGAGGCCAAGTGCTGAACAAGCGTGTAATTATTCTGACAGCTGGACAGTTTCAATTAAGCATTATTTATGGAGACTATGGAGGAATACAAGGCGCTCACTGGAGGAGCAGGGATATTCTAAACATATTCAAAGCCAATTATAACAGATTCTGCATGGGTGGACCCTCCTCACAGTTCACTGCAGCAAATGAGAAAGATTAGTTAGCCACACAGCTCTGGATGGAACTAACCGCGCCACCTGTTGGGAAGCAATACTGTAATCAGTACGACCCTCAACCGGATAGAGCAGACCAACCATTGGCATCGTCAACCATCAGTCATCCTCTTGATGAAAATGCACCACACAAGTGGTCGTTTTTATGTGAAAATCTCCAGT